AATAGTCAAGTCCTCAGCATTGGTGTCCAGTGGGAGTACAACACCTGTGTCTGACTGAAGGCAGCAGGTATTTAAAGCTGCCCAATGACAGTTGTTGCTCTGACCTGTGTTGTTTTCTTACCAAATAACACATCTAACACTCTAATCAGAGACGAAGCTACGGCTAACGAACACCAGCATGAAATGCCAGCTCATGCCTGTGAAGAAGAGTGGGAGTCAGATCTGGGTTAGTTTCAAAGTCTTAGTTAGTCATCATGAAAACATCTCTGGTTAACATGATCTACAAGTGAAATGAAACTCTAATGAAGTCTGCAACGTTAGAAACAGAAGAGAAAATTATAAGTGTGGCTCTTCTGTCAGACTCTCCTCCCCGGCTGCTCCTCGCTGCAGGTCCATGGTGCGGCAGAGTCTTGACAGAACTCTCAGCATTTATAAATAACCATTAACAAGAGGAACCTCTTTGGTCCCATGGTGCTCAGAACACTAGTGAGAGAACATTTATTTTAAAAGACCAACACTGCCTCCTTTGTCAATTTAAAAGTTAGCTCTAAATAGAGTCACAATTACTGGGAGTTTGATTCTAACTTCCTCAGACAAACCACAGCTTTGATCACTGCATGAGTTAACAACCAACCCAGGTACATTCTGGGTTCTAGGTCTGTGACTTCACATCGTTCAGTCATCGTCGACTGCTTCATCATCTACGTTATCACGTTAGATCCCTGAGTGCTGTACTGTATACTAGTATTTTCACTTGTGTTTTTGCTGATTCCAAGTTCCAGCACCGATACTTGTGTCAGTAAGGTGAACTAGAAGGCAGCGTGAGACAGGCAGCACATCTCTGTGGGGAAACAGGCTGACGTGGAGTGTGTAGGTGTGAGCTCAGCCCAAACCACAGGGAAGACTATGAGCAGAAAAAGACTCACAGCCAGTTTTATTTTCCTTCTCATTCACAGAAGACAATTCCAATCCAACAGGTAAGAAATCTTTAGGTGTTCAACAAAAGTCCAGGAACAGGCAGGACATCCAACAACTAACGGACTGGTTGGTTAACAGAAGAAAACACAGGCCAGGCAGGAAGAACGGTGAAGCAAAGGTCAACAGGAAGAACTGGGAAACAGATGTGATCATAACCCTTAAAGCAGTGGAGAACACCAACAGGAACCCTCATGACAGTGAGTCAACACATACACAGTGAGAGGAAGAGGCTTATAAACCAGAGGCACCAGGTGAGACCAGTGAGCCTGATTAACAGAGGCCCAGGACACAGGTGAGTGTGATGAAGCTAATTAGCCCAGGAGAGACAAACAGTGGAAGACTTGACACTGACGTCGTATTGTTGAACAATATACAAATCAAAACTTGACAATGACGTATTGTTGAACAATATACAAATCAAAAGAATATTGAAAAAAAAAACAGCTGTTCAAAACTGAACGTCCTGTGTAATTTACTCACAGTTAGCTTCTATGCTAACTGAGTTTACTACTGATTTTGACTACTGACAAGTAGTGTTAAAGATTATTATTGTCATTTAATAAAGATGAATTTTATTCAATAAAGATGAAAAAAATAAAAAATAAAATAAAAAAAATATATCCAGAGTGAACCGGATGTATTTTAAACGCTTGCACTGAATCCTGACCAATCACAGGATAGTTGTCAGACACCACATGAGAAAATGGAAAGTTCTGCCTTACAGGCCTGGAGCCCATGAACTAAAACAAGCCAATATGAATGACTGTTGTCTGAAATCCAGATTTTAAATGTGGTTCGTTTCCATTAAATAAAATGTAAAATGTTCTCTGACAATATGTGAGGAACCGCTCGTGGGAGACTCATGTTCTCTGTGTTCCTCTTGTTTACCTGCTGTGATGTGCTTTTCCTTCAGCATCTGCCCTGCAGCCGTTTACCTGTGAAGGCACTGGAGGAGTTAGTGAGGCAGGCCAACTGACAGTTGTGTCTGTGTTTCTCTCCTGTCACTCCTGCTGCGTGGTATTATGCTCAGAAACAGTGTCCTACCGGCTCCGCTGGCAGCTATGAATCACAGCGTGGTCTGAATGTGGGCTGTTTCATCATTTTCCTCCCTCTGCTGGCTCACTCCTGCAGCAATTTACTGTTAATTTAATCTTAACTCTCTTTGATTTAATATCAGGGAGACAGGAGGGGGGTGTACGGGTAATTAAGTGATACATAAACCCATCTTATTAAGATAGAGTGAGGTTGTTTATTTGTATCGTTGTTTAATTTCCTATTATGAACAATAATACAGTTACACAACGTCTGCCTCTAAAGATAGTGATGTAACATTTCCTCTTTTTTTATAAAGAAAAATGTCTTTGTCACATAACATGGTATTTTAAACACCAAATATTGCTTTATTTTTTCTTTTCCATAGTGTAACAACAGCTCCGTCACCTGTATCCTCCATCGTCACCCACCCTCATAATACCCATATTGATTTCACCTTGAACAATCTGAACTCTGGTCCATGCATGCATCATCTTTATCAATTTCAAATGGAGTCCTCCTCTCCAGCTGCTGAGTGTGAAGGCTCAAGTCTGACTCCATGTTTTAGTCATCACTGCTGGAGCTTTGTCAAAAACCTCCAGAAAATGTGCCAATATGTGATACTGCCACTGGTCTGCAGCCTCATAAGTTTTTTTATAATAATTATGACTGACTTTTGAGAATACAATGGAATTTTTGCAACAATACAGCCTTATTTCCACACCTAGGGTGAGCCCAATGTAAGGAATGCAGTGTCTGTGTGTGTATATACAGTATACATGTTGATGCAGCCACAAAAGTTCTGCTATCCTTCCTCTAAGATAGGGTTTGTAAAAACCAAATTGCAAACCTGTCCTCATCCACCTTCTTCTTCAACTGTGCCCGACTACCGTCACAATATTCTCATTGATTTCCAGATGAAAGACTTGAACACACTCACGTCTAAACTCATTACGATCATGTAACCACGGTGACGCAAACCTGCCAAACTGGGTTTGCAGCTGTCGTGTGTAATCTGTGGAGCCTGCGGGGGACGCCACTGAGTTTAAAGGTGGACTACCGCTGTCCCCAGGCTGTGGACAAACATACAGTATGGACATGTCAGCGTGCCTGAGGGGAGTCGTTACTGTTCCACATAGAAATGATGGAGGAATTGTGGAGCAGAGCCGACGTGGAGAGTTGTAAAGAACTTTATTTGCCATTGTAGCCTTCAACAGACGTCATTGTTAATTGGGTCTCAGTGGATAACTGTGGGCATCTGGACTGGTTGCTCATGAACACACTGACTGATGTCCTTTTGTGCTCTCAGTGGCACACACGCGCACACACACCATCAGACAAGCACTCCACTTTATTTCCGGCGTGTTGAGGTAATCTTACACTGATAGCATGCAGATACCTGCATTGGTTGGAGGCTGTTGGAGCTATCACTCCATCTAGTGGCCGTGTTAACCTGCACGTGGACGCGTTGTCTGCAGGGCTCTCTCTCTCTCTCCCTCTCCCTCTCTCTCTGAAGCACTGTACTGCCCCCCGTAGGCTTTTGGTTCCACCTCCCTGCACGCTGACTTACAGCCTAACAGGGGCTTCACTACACCTATGTTTAATCACCGTCATCCATCAATCACCCCAGCAGCCAGTCAATCCACTCCTTTGTCTAACTACTCATTTATGCCTCATGAGTGCACATCTGTTCAAACACCTAATTGATTCCTCTGTGTACAGTTTATATTCTCTGACCTGTCACAATATGTTAAAATCAATGCAGCACTGAGGAGCCCAGTAAATGTTGGGCTGGGGCAGTTTATCCAGCCCCTGCCACACTGAACACGGAGAAGATGCTCATAAAAAATATCCCCATTCATCACAAATGACTCTTAAAGGAACAGTAATCAATAATTTGATGTTAACAAAGTCTTGACTTATTAAAGAGCCAACTGTCAGCTTTCGTGAGCATTGGTTTGGTCACTAATAATAATAATAATAACAATCAAACATAATAATACAATAACTGCAGTGACGCAGATCTCTTCTGATTTAAAAACACAGTATTAATGATTCAGAGTTCTTTGTTCTCGTTCTCTACAGCAGGGTCACCAACTATATTTGTCTGGATTGACATCATGGGAGCTGGGCACTCAAATAAATATCTAATTTTTTTGTCTAATGTTATGATTTGATGTTGCAGACACAGGCTGGTGCAATTATCCAGCCTGTGAAATTATTAGTAATTACACATATTTCCCCACCAAAGCCAAGGATGAAAAGAACAAGTAAAACTAATGAAACTTTATCAGCTGTATCCCATTTCTGCTGACGTTATAATGTTTGGTTACATGTGGCTGAAACAGTCAAAACCTTTCGTTTCTCTGTGTTTTTACTCTGACCTCCAGTCAACACAGGCGTTGATGGACCAGTTGAACACAAACCACTTCAACACCAACTAGTCAGTTGTTTGTCTTTGAGGTGAGAAAATGTCAAAATACCACTTAAAGAGAATGAATGACGCTCTGCTCTGAAGTGGCTGCAAACAGCGGTGAATTCAGGTCAGTTCTTATAGAACGTGCTGCCATGTTCAAGTAAAGGATCGTTAATGGATGGTTACAGGATGAAACAAGTTCAGTGGTTAGATGTGATTCATGACCAGGGCTGAAGGAACAGCTCGGTGTACTTTTATAGAGTTGAAAGACATTTAAGGACAGACAAGCTACAGAAAAAAAAAAAAAAAGCCCAGAAATATCCATTCATTTGTCCATTATCTTACGCTTATTCCCTTTCAGGGACACGTGGAATATCCATAAATACTGATGTAAATGGTGCCTATTATTTATACTCTCTTTACTGTATATGTGGCTTTTCTACTCCTCTTCATCACTCAGAGAGGACACAAACACAACAGTCAGGAGACACAGATCAGCTGCAGAAGTTCATCAGTGAGTCCACACTTATACTATGCAGAAAAAAATCAAAGAAGAAACTGAGTGTTAACTCACCTGGTATACAGGAACAATGGAGGAACCACAGTAGTGACAGGAACCTAAGGAACCAGGTGAAAGGAGTGACACTGATTAACAGAGAGTCACAGGACACAGGTGAGAGTGATGAAACTAATTAGAGAGTGAAGACAGACAGACCCGACATCATCAACACAACAACTGCCAACATGGCTGCCAGAGGGATGTCACATAAATAAATCAAATAATTCATAATCCACCTGCATGATTATTTCAATAAAATTCTAAAAGCTTTGAATTCTGACAGAACAGATGAATCAATGTGTCATCACCGAACGGGACAATGTAAAGTAGTAAAGTAGAAGTAAAGAAAATGGCAACAACAGTGTTTGTTCATCACATTTATTAAAATATGAAATATAAAAAAAGTTACAGAAAAAAAAATACAAAATCCAACAATCTTAAATATAGTACCGTGAAGTATTTTATAAGGAATGAATGAAGTTTATTACAGTCTGTAACATTCATTTAGTCTAAAATAATAGATACATTTACCCCAAACTAACTCAAACTTTGGTCATGGAATGTATTTAATTCTACTAGTGAGGTAGTGGTTAGTTTGGTTATAGGTCAAATATATATTTCACCCTTAAGTGTTTTTCCTTCATGTTTTAAGGCACCGTTAACAAGTCATTTCTTTGTGAAGCAGCGTAGCTTCAAATTCTAAGAAATAGTCCTTTAAACTGCACATCCTATTTATAAAACCCTTGTGGCAAACATGATAAAGTGCTCAGTAGAAAACTGTGTTCCATTAGTGTTAGGAGAGAAATGTACCTTCATTTCAGAACGCCATTGTTGACAGGCAGTTTAAAAGAGTACCTTTTTAGATAAAATGTAAGACATTAAACACAGTCGACAGCAGCGACGAGGAATGAAGATGGAGCTGGAGCCTTGAAGAGAACGCAAGCCACTTAAGATTCTCTTCTCCATTCAGATATAAGTCATCAAGAGGGAAAGAAAAGAAGAGTCTCAGCAAAGGTGTCCTCTAAGTGTCTCTGCTCACATTGGTCTTCTGTGAGTCCAACAGGAAGGATTGTCCTGACAATATGTCATACATCTGGTAGTAGAGCAAGTCACAGACTTGTTTCACGTATTACATCTCGGTTAAGTCCATCTGCAAAGACACAGAATTATTAGTAAATCACATCGACTACTTGACTACTACAGTGTTGTGAGGTCTGACTATTTCAGTCACCAAACATTAGGATTTCAAGTTCAACATGCATCCCATCCCACTGCAAGTCACTCACAAAAGGAGTGACGGAGCCAACTGGAGTCAAGTCCTTAATTACAAATCCAAGTCCCTTTAAAACATTTAAAGTTGAGACTTGAATAAAAGTGTTGGCTCTAAGTCAACTGAAAAACCCAAGTTGTGTTAACAGTTTATTTAGTTGAATTTACCCCTTTGGGAAAATGTCAAGTGTCAAGTCCTGGGCTGTGGTCAAATAACATTACAGTAGAACATGAATGGAGTTTGGTTGAACTCACCTTGATGAAGGCTTCTCTACATGTAGTGGTTGAGTTGATGCAACCCAGAGTTTTGGTCATAAAGTCCCACTTGTAGACTAAAGGACTCCACAGCTTCAAACTGCTGTGTGTCCAGTCCACTCTGCTGTGACGTGTTCACGGAGAAGCAGAGATTCTCCTGGGCCACGTTATAACGTGGCCCACTGCTGATGCTGATGCTGCTGCTGCTGCTCTTGCTTACACCCATCTCCAGGTCTTTCATGATGCTCTCAAACACATTGTCATCAAGGACCAGGTCACACTTAGGAGCAGGGTGAGGGTCCCAGTCAGAGTCAGAGGGCACGGTGTGACCCGAGCTCTGGCTCTGATACATGTCAAAGCTTCTGGCCAGAGATGAAATCTGCTGGGCCAGGATACTGATCTCTTCCTGCTCCCTCTCACTGTAGGGCTGAGTCTCTGTGGACGTCGGAGACTGGTTGGGGGTGAGGAGACTGGAATGAACAGGCAGTACGTGATGGGGCACCTGGTGTACTTGGGTGACACTGCCCCCCTCTGGCTGCACAAGAAGGCTGAACTCGTCCTGATGCAAGGCACAGTCCAGCGGGCCCTCACACACGTCAGATGCAGATTGGGAGTCTGGAACTAATCGGGCGTCTGGTGTGTATGATTGGAAATCATAGGTAGGGGGTGAGAGGGTGATTGAGGGGTGAGTACTGAGGGCAATAAAGGATTCCTGCACAAAACTGTGGCCGGGGGCTTCAGAGTGTGAGAAAGGGTTTGTTTGGTGACAGGTGAGCCCTGACTCTGGGTAGGAGTAGTAGGAGGGAGAAGCCTCGGGGGAGGAGGGGAGCTGATCTCTGTATCCATGCACATCCATCAGGGGGTCTTGGCTGAGTTCCTCCTCCTGCAGGGGGGAACCGGAGGAGGAGGTCGGGCTGTAAGGAGGGGTGAAGAGAGCCAGACTCTCACCCCCACACACAGGTGAGCCCTCACTCTGGGAGTAGACACAGGACACGTAGTGAACGTCTTGCTCTGAGTCCCTCCTGGCTCTGGTACGGGGCTCCTGGCTTTGGCTCTCTGATGTCCTCTGCCTTTTAAAACATTTATTGTTATTGTAGGTCTGAGTGTGAGGAGTCTGTTGAGCTGGGAAATTGCAGGAATGTGCCAGAGATGGAGGCCTGCAGGCATCACTGCCAATTTTGTTCTGCAGAAACCTGGCCTCTGTTTCACTACGAGAGGAGGAAATAGTGTCGTGAGCCGATGTTAAAGGCTTAAAAATCAGTGAATTGTTCTTTTTTTTTTTGGAAAAAGACTTGTCATACCTGATGAGGTAGTTAATGCAGCTGATGCCCTGCAGCTCCTTGTTAGCTCGGATGTAAAGCCAGGTCCATGACTGATCCTTACACAGGAGTCTGAGCAGCATCTCTACTTCAGAGCCCTTATCTGTGTTCACTGGAGCAGATAAGAAAGACATGGTTCTGGTTATTATGAGGCTCAACACACACACACACACACACACACACACACACATATACACATACACTTGAGATAACCTTCAGGTAACAATAAACTATGTAGGATTTAAAGATTAACATTTACCAAAGGAGCCAACATACAGACTTGATGCTTCATTAAAAATTTGTTTTGCTTTTGGAAAAGTAAACCAATTTTTTAACCATGATAACACAAGCTAAAATTTTTAAGGGTGGAATTTAAATGATTACTTGATTTAAGTGAGTAGATGTTAGGTTTTTATTTCATTGAATAGTGTAGAAGTTTGTCACAACAAAATTAGAGGTGTACAGCGCCACAGCTCAGTAAGAACTCACTGCTTGCTATTAAAAAACAGGCCAAAATGACCTTGTAAATCAGGGGTCTCAAACTCGAATGTTCTAGGGGGCACTGTTGCCCTAGCCTCTCATTAAAATAAATCTTTTAAAAAGTCTGGTGGACTTCATGAGGGTAGTTTGTTGGGCTGAAAGTGGCCCACGGGCCAGGAGTTTGATGGTTGTAAATAACTGCTTGCTCAAATGGTCTGTAACAATATTATCTATTTGATATGAAGATGATAATGTGAAATCGCTGAATGTTTTGAAAAATGTCTGTGGTAAAAGGTACTTTTTCACAAGAGTAGATTTTTATAAAAGAATATTATTAACCAGGAGCAGAACTGCACTCTCTATTTTGAATCTGTCTCAGCCAAAGGTTTAGAAAACATCCTGGACTATAAAGAAGAGTGTGTACAACGGAGAAACAGCACTAACTGTGGAGCAACTCTGTTCTGTGGTGGACAGTGAACTCACGTAAACTCCTGTGAGATTCTGCGCCCGAGGAAACGTCTTCAGGGTGGATCAGACTGTACCACGATTGGCCGGTTATTTCAGCGGCTGAATACCCCAAATAGTTTACAACACTGAGAAATAAAACAAAAAATAAATACAATCAGTAACAGGTCAGAAGACATTGATATCAGTTTGAATAAAGAAATATGGTTGAACCTTTCTGAGAGGTGAGCGAAGGTCATGTCAAGTTGGTGGGCGCTGCTGAAGCTGTGGCAGAGGTGCTGCTCACTGCTCCTGAGGCGGTCCACTGTGGGGGTGCACAGCGCCACAAAAAGCAGCCCAGGGACGGACGAGGCGGCGGAGGTGGAAGGACACGGTTGAGGGAAGGAGTGGAAAGTGCCTCTCACCAGTACGGAGCAGCAGCTGCCTTGTTGCTGCTTGAAGGCCTTGGAGGTTTGCATGCAACAAACAAAACTTCTCTCTGGAACAGAAAAAAGCAGGTGTTCATTTTTTTTGTTCCTTGCACAATAACAAACAGTCCTGTTTTTCCCAAAGATCATATATAAATTATCAGTATGGAACGGTGAACACTGATTTATTAGATAGCAGAGCTGTTTGTCATTTGACTTATGATCTTCTAGGGGGCCGCCAGGGGGCGCTAAAGGGGCCTCAGAAAATTTACAGTGAGAATATACAATGCAGACAACATGTTGGTTAATAATTTTTTTATGATCAACAAATTTTTTTTTGGCCAATAGCGTTTCACTATTGATCCTGAGTGAAGGATCAGTTCAATCCCTTCGTGGAAAATAAACCTCTTTGTATCCAGGACAGGAACATGAAGTTAACCTCCGTCATGATGTTTAGCACAGATATAGCAAAGGCATAAAGTTTTATGTTACGGTCTGTTAGAGTGAGGTTACCTGATGGTGAGTTGTTGTTGATGTCCAGGTTTGATCTCACCATATCAACATCTTGGCGTTCAATCATGTCGTAGACGGTGTCTCCCTGAAGCACATCGATCTGTTCCAGTCACACACACAGCGTTAGATCAAACCAGTCACAGACTGAAGGCTGCAATAAGTCAACACTAAAAGCCTTTTAAGAGCAACATGCTACATTCAAGCTGGCTAATATTCATGATCAGCAGACTCACCATGGACAGACCAAGGTAATCAGTCACATTTTCAGACACATAGACCAGCCTCCCGTGGCTGGTGGTCACCAGGATGAAGCCGTGCAGGGCTTGGAGGAAGGCTTCGTATGGAAGAGGACACTGGGTTGTCTCTGCTGCTGCCGTCCCTAACAAGAGGACAAGAGGACGGAGTCATGTCAGCTGTGGTCAGTGCAGCTAACATAGTATATTCATACTTATACTAATATTAATAGTAATACTACAACTAATAGTAATCCTAATAATGATGATGATGATGATCATGTTGATGATAAATTCAGAATTTGGGTTACTGATAAAATTGTATTTTTTGTCTATAAATGGCACAGTATATTTTGGTTTTAGATTTCTATAAAGTAATTATAATTTTAATTACAGTATCCAGACTTCAGAACACATTTTAGAATCTAGTAAAACTTATACTATTAAATATTAAAAAAATATATATATACCTATTTTAATGAAGTTTTTTAGATTGCATTCATTTTTACTCCACAATTTAATTTGTGAATATAGAGAAAAAAGGTCAGGTTCTGAGACCATAACTTTAAAAAAGAAGTCAAACTTTTTGACTTTACCACCAGCTTTTTGACCTTTAGCTCTTGGAGTTCATTTTTAAACTCAGTGTTATATCTACAGTACAGTAATAGAAGCTGTAGAGTGAAGTGTGTGATATTTCCAGACTCACCCTGCAGCAGCACAGACTTCCTGATGTAGGTGCAGATGGCTGCCATGGAGTGCAGGTAGGAGAGACCCTCCTGCTCCTCCGACCTGACGGGCAACAGAGCCCGCATATTCCTGATCTCATGATTGATGTGGTCCCGCCGGGCTTTGGACGCTCCTTTGGTGGACCTGTGGGAGGCCATGGCTGCCTCAGACGTCAGGGATTGTAGGTGAGGTGAACCAAATCTGAGAACGTTTCACAGTCACTGCTGCAACACTGTCATTTCAAAAATGTCTCTCTCTTCTCCATGGGGGAAGTGTAGAAGAAAAAAAAAATTGGCTGCAGACGTCTTTTTTTTTCAGCCTGGTGTCTCTTTTCCCGTAAGCTGAAGCAGAGTTTAAATATAGAGGGGCTTCTATGGAAACTACTGATATGAAAAAGTTGCTGTGTGAGCAGCAGAAATAAAGGCCGTCCTCAGAGGAGTCACTCTGTGTGATCACTTATCTGTCTGGGCCCATCCACAGACTGGAGCTTTTATAGCTGCCAGGGCTTCAGCGTGGGCGTCGCACACAAGAGGGAGGCCGGGCTTCTGCTGCTGCCTTCACTGCCATGGACTGTGGAGTGGGTGATCTCAGAGGAGGAAGGGGGGTGAGGTGGGGGGGCGGGCAGGTCACGTCACAGGGACACACAGTGTGTCACAAAAAAGCACTACATCACACAGTAATGTAACATTTAAACCACTCACTGTAACAAATAGAGTTGTTGATGGGATGGAGGCGTTGCTTTTCTGACTGTATTTGTTCTAACACTGGGATTTTAGAGACTTATTATATTTTATATTACATTTTTTTTGACAGAAATGCAAGAAATTGTTACTTTTGGAAATTTAACTAACAGACAGAATTCTTTGCATCAAAAAATGAGTCAAAATAACAAGACATGCAGCAACAGCAAATACTAAGGAATAAAAAATCAAATTATAAGAAATGAGTGGTTATTATAATTTTACAGCAGCTTGGTGGATTACTCTGAAAAGGCAGTAAGCCTTTTTTAATTATTTTTTTTATTCGAACGTTTAATTAAATTGATCCCTGAAAATCCACAAACTCTGTTTCATCATCACTCTGATTCAGAGGAGTAAACTTCCCTTTAAACTAATGGTATTTGTTCACATTAACCAGTTAAGGAGACGGCATTTGACCATTAATGTGGTCAAACCTCAACCACTTTTTTGTTGTCTTTCAGTTCACTGTCAAGAGGAAAAGAACCCACAACATGTTTCCATTCAAGAAGCTGTAGTTCTAAATAATGTCATTTACTGACTGAGTTAGTTATCTACTGGTCAGCCAGCACGTCAGTACAATAATATGTATTGAACTGTACTGTTGTAATGTGATGATGATCAGTGTAGGTCTGTAATTGACTATAAATATCAACATATATGTGTGTGTGTGTGTGTGTTTGTTTTTCTGGTAAAGCTATACTTGTTGGGACATGAAAAAATACTGCAGTTGTTATCTTCCTTATGTGTCACATTTCACATCTCGTATTTTTTGTCGGTTGTTCTACCTTTTCCACCTTATATTATAATTAGTCAGATATTTGTAGTTTTTGCAGGATTGTTTAAGTGCCCACAAAACAGAAAAACCAGTGCATGTGTGTTGCCGCCACTAGAGGTCGTGTGTCAGAGATAGAGGTCTTTGGTTGACCCCAGCCAAAGAACTGCTCATGCTTCTGTGGCAGTTAATGAGATGCAAACACACACACACACACTCTCACACACACACAGTCCTGACATGACATTTACAGAAGTTGGTCCCTACTGTCATTTGTCCTGAAGTAACCAAAGATTAAAAAAACACTATGAATAAATGATAAATGATAAAGTCCTATATTTCCGTAGTCTATTCTTCATGTTTTGGGAAATTACTCTGTGTTTTTGACCAATCAGTGGAACTTTTTGATATTTGCTTAACACATCACACTCCTGCACTAGAAAAAAACTTTCTTTTTTTTTTAATGTCAATACATTAGAAAGAAGTAAAGATAAACAACTTCACCTCGTGCCTCAGCAGGTTACAGTGTTTGGTTCTCTCTGTTTAAAGCCTGACTTCAGATACCTCATCCAGCACTGAGAGTGTGGATAAACACACACACACACACACACACACACACATCTAAAAGGATAATACTAGGTCTTGTGCGGTGTTAAATCGACTGAGAAATGTTAGATTTTGTGAGGTGAGCCCTGAGAACAGGCTGCTGAAAAGGAAACCCAGACTAATGGAGGATAATGGCTTTAAAGAAATCAAGACAAGAGCAGTTTGGTTTTATTGCCACTCAATCACTTGGTATTCTGTTGTTTTTTATAAATACCTCAGTTACAAAGATTTTGTTTTTTTCTTTTTGGTTCAGGCTGTACAGAGTTAAATAATTTTGTCTAAAATATAAAGAAAAAACCTTGAATTTCAAGGTGGAAAAAAAAGGCAACATTTTCACAAAGGTGAGAGAAGAGAGATTTACACAGCACATTCACATTCTGACCTGTTGTTCAGGAGGAAACTCACTCTGGGACTTCCTATACAATAACCAGGTTTATATTGTTCTTTCTCTTTGGTCCTGTTAGGGTCAAAGGCCAACTTTAACACCTGTGATACAGGTTATTTAGTTCTTTTGGGAGCGACGTTAGCTGAAATTAGAAACTGGAGTCGGTTTAAAGAACAAAGGTGGCACAGAACAAACTAAGGTGAAATAAATCAAAATATTAAAATAAAACCAAACAAACTTTTCCACTTGTCAATGATGAATTTCTGCTCGTTCTCACATAGTCACTGAGTCGCAGCTTGTATTCTCTCAGGGCTGGTGCAGCTCTCACGCCTCGTTACTTAAATCCCCAATTTAGCGGCCTCATTACTCAGCGCAGAACTAGAACTTGAGCGAAGGAACTGAACGTGGATGTGAAGGACAAGACAAAACAAAACACATAGAACAAATCCTCGGTCTGATTCTCAAGGGCCGCTGGGATGGCCCGGGGTCCAGGGGGGAAATTAGAGAGTCATTTGGGTGAGTGTCTCCCTGCATTAGCGCCTGTGTTGCGGGGCCAAAGCAGGCTCTGGAGCCAGACACGGGGGACCTAGAGCAGCCACGCTTCCTGTGTGTGGCAGGACCAGGCGGGACAGGGTGTCTCTGCTGCCTCACTTTTAGCTGAGCCTCCGTCTGTGGGCTGCACTTAACACTGCAGATAACACTGACTTTATAGCGCAGGGCTGGTGACAGACAGGAACAAACTGCCAGGACGCTGCTGCTGCAAAAAAGCTGCGGCTGGAGTTCAGGGTGAGACACTTTCTAATGATGCCCTCCCTCCCCCCAGACCTCCATTTGAAAAAGCAGCCGCACATGTCCCATTAGGTTTGAGGGCCCGGGGTTGGGGGGTAAGGGGAGTACCCACAAAAGTAGACGGTGATCAGACAGGGCCGTTGATGCAGATGGGG